AAATTATAGAGCAAATGGTAAATGCACAAAGCATGCCATACAAATTAAATATAGAAACAAAAACTATAACATATACTACAGTACATCAATTGTGTATTAAATCGATACTTAAATCATAAAAACACAATTATGTAATAATAATGTAAGTGGCTCATTCAAGAAAGGGTTATATTTATAAAAATGAAACATTAAGTGTAATAAATATTTAAAACTTTTCAATAGTGGGATTGACCGTAACATTACAACACCCCCTGGCCATGCTGGTCCATTTTATACATAAAGTGACGGATAATTGTAAAGTATGCAAGGAAAGTTATTGGTTATGCGATAATATTTGCCTGGTTAATATAATGGATTTACCTGTAAATTTAGATAATATATGTGATAAAAACTTTTTTACATGCAATACAAATTATCAGATATGTTATAATAATTGTCTCGTTAAAATAATTGTTTTACTTATTAACTATTAAATAACTTTTTTAGAACATATACTTAATTTAGAAGTAAAAATTACAATGTTAATGACGAAATCATATGTTAAACCACATCTTAGCAATCCACCTACATCACGAAATTACCTACTCTAGCAAAGCACTCTCTGGTGCCACTTGCAACTTCGTGGAGCTATGACCTCATCATCTCTTTCACTACTCTGGTGTTACTTCGCGGACGTCATCACCCCACCCCCTATCGCCTGAGCCAACCATTCAACGTGTGTGTCCGTGGTTTCAAGATGACTACTTATATAGTAGAAGTGGAGTTTGTACCACTGGAAATCTAATTTGCATTTTATCATTTGTTGTTTATTTTAAGAGATATTTTACTGTTGAAACTAATTTTTATTTTTTGTAGAAAATTATATTTTATGTTTATTTTTTGTTCTTATATATCACCAAATGATTTAATTTACATGTTACTCATATTTGAAGCTTTTATTTTCTTGTTCTTTTATTGTAACGAATTCTATCATTGAGCAGGTTTGTTTCGATTTTGTAAAAATAATGCCCATCTCTGTGCACGTTACGAACGAATTTGTACATAGGAATTTCCTGGTTATTTATTGTGAAGCTGTTCGTAGCTAGCCTAACTTTGCATCCATGTCTCCGCATAAAGTCAGTTCCTAATATGCACTCTTTCTTGATCAATTACGCAACACTTCATGAGATGTAGAGAAGCTTCCTACAGTAAGGGTAACTTCCAACTTTAGCTTGCTAAAACTTTATATGTCCAACTGTTGTTCAAATCAGTCCTTCTTTCATCATCTGTGGAGGCAATTTCCTACCTTTCATTAATAAATGGGATCGAATAACAGTGTCAATCAGCATGTTGCAAGGTTTTCTATCAATAAATTCATGGACTCGTGGAAGACCTTCCTTAAATGATGAAATTATTATTTCATTTCGGGTAGATGGAATGTTCCCAGATGAACTTCACACAGCTTTGAGACCCATTTTCAGAATATTATCTCCTTGGCTAAATAACAGTTGTTAATATCTTACAGTCTTGACTGTAACGATCATATCCCCCACAATTATAACAGTTTACAATTTCTATTATACTCTTGGAGAGGTTCTTATTCCACAGATGCTTTTAATTTACAGTTCTTCGCAATATGTTCTATCCAGTTATTCTTGGCATACCCATTTTCTTGTGGTCTGTTTCCTTCATTCTGTGTAACTAGTTGCTTGATTAATTCTTTCATTTCTTCTAGACTATCGTTAGAAGCAATTCATGTTTCAATACTACATAAGTTGATGATCTCGTAACTTCGAGATTGTGCCTTTAGTTGTTTATCTGCAACAAACTGGGGTGCTTCCTTTAAAAAATGTTCATATCCTCGTCTGATATGCCATCTATAAAATAGTCATGTGTCAATTATTCCATCATTTCAATTGGAGCATCTAGATAAGGTAATTGTAAAAGCTTTTCCGCATCTTCCACAAATTCTGCTAAGGTCCCTTTTTTTCAGTACCCTGTCCAGACCTTTGCTCTAAATACTTCCTTTTGGTGTGTCACTCCGAACCTTTTTGACAAGGCACCTACCAGTGCTTGATGGTTGTTACGGCTCTCAGCAAGAATGTTACTTAATGTCATTAAAGTTGAATTAAGGCAGAATGATCAATAGTGTGTTGTTCACTATTCCACCTCTTCATTCTGGAAATAATCTTGAACTGAGTCTGATATGTTTCCCATGGTACCTTTCCATCATAGTATGTTGTTTTTTTCGATTGGTTAATGTTGTCGAATTTGCCAGCGAAATTCTGGAATCTGATTTGGTAGTGGCAATACTGGAGTAGTCTAGGAATGTCCTGAAATAACAGATGGCAAAGCAGTAATAATAATAGGGATAGTTCCAATAAATTATCCTATCCAATATTTTGTAGTAAATGGTGTCTTAGATTGGAGCTCTTGAGCAGGTGCAGTAAGAGGCGTGGCTCGTTTAATCTTTGCATTTATCAATTTATTTTCCAGATGTCTTATTTTGTCAGTGATACTGAAGTTTTTTCAACCTCGTTGATCTTGCTCTTATAATCTTTATATAATTCATAGATGTGTTCTTTATTTTGCTTTTCACTTTGTTGATGTCCTTTTGTGCATCTTCAAACTTGTTGTTTTAACCATTCTGTACATCGTCAATAGCTTTGTCGCTCTTGTCTTCAATCATATTTATTTATTTTGATATTTGTTATAATATTACGTCTTTATCTTTTAATTCTTCTATTAAATTCCTGTCTCTTACTTCATGGTCTTACCTGCTACGTTCTTCAATTTTCATTCCAGTTCTTGTTCTTTTTTAATAGGGTCTAGTATGGCCTTGTGATTAGGGCGCTTGACTCGCAATCTGGGATTCGCGGGTTAGAATTCCATCCCTGAACATGCTTTCAGCCGTGGCGGCATTATATGTGATGGCCAATTCCGCTTTTCGTTGGTAAAAGAATAGCCCAATAGTTAGCGATGGGTGGTGTTGACTAGCTGCCTTCTTTCTAGTTATCACTTTTAAATTAGAGACGGCTAGCACAGATAGCTCTCGAGTAATTTTGTACGAAATTCAACAAAAAATAAATCTTTTAATTTTTGACTCTTTCTTTTTTATCTTCTTTTAACTGTTTTATTAATTCTAATAAATTTTCAACTTCGCTTTGTGAGGTCATCTTGAAAGTTGAAATTTACTTAAAGCTTTATTTTATTTGAAATGTTATTTCTGCCCACAATTTGCATCAAAGTGAACGTAACTTGAAGAAATGGGTATGATTCATTAACAACAGGAGATCCGTCAAATATTACGGAGTATAGGTTTATATTTCTCTGACTTTGGCTGAATCGGACACAAAGAAAGGGACAACACACAAAACTGTGAAAATCACAATATTTTTACAAAACAAATTAAAGATAAACGCAAACAAAACATTTGTAAGTGTTCTCTCTCTCTCTCTCTTTCTGTGTGTGTGTGTGTGAGAGACCATCACAAATCAAAGCCAACCTTCTCAGGACTCGTATATCACTCATGTGACCCAATATCATCTCGCTTCATCACAAGGTAGCTAAGACCCTGGGGTATTACTAAATTCGCTGACATAAAAGATAGCTTTCTATTTTGGGACATCATTGGTGATGTTACAGCTGTCCTTCCTGCAGAAAAACACGTTTAATAATAAAAGAGAGTAACACTGGTTTCGTGCGCAAGTACAGTTAAATTAAGTTGTTTACTTGATCGACTTTGTATATTAAAACAAAACTAGAAAAAATATGAATTTGAAAAAACTACATATTAACTAACTGAGATGCTAGAAAACACGTGGTACCTTTCTGTACAACACACTTAAAACTAACGGGTAAAATAATTAATTGATTAGGCGAAGTGCAAATAAGTCTAACTCAACCAGAAATGATATATTGACACATAAATATCTTACAAAGAAACAATAATTTATTTAACAAATTTAATTTAATTCATCGTACGAATAAGACAAGAACGCAGACATGTTAACACGTGCTTCTTTGCTTTCAAATCAGCTTATCCTAGACACGATTGCTAACAAGCAACTATTCTGGACGATCACCAACTATTTTGGCTTCATTGCATTTATGAGCTCGGTCAGAGATGTTCAGAATGTCACATCACCAGGTAAATCGCATTAGTAGAAAAGGGAAACTCGAATTTCAGACTTTTCTTTTCCCACATAACTATCATGTTAGACAACCTTCAGTCTCGTTCAACCACTCATCCAGCAAACAGGTCAGGTGTAAAGATAATCAAGTTCTGGGCTTAAGTCTACAAAGCAAAAATCCATATAAAGGTATTCTTACTTCCATGCTATAGTACTCGATCATCGACTATAGACCAATGTTCATAAATTCTACCACATAATATCGTAGTGCATTCTGGTATGCGTATGAGTGTAAATACATTGAAGTCGTCCACCGGTGGAACTGCGGTAAGTTTACGGACTTACGGCACTAAAATCCAAGGTTCGATTTCCTGTGGTGGATATAAACAAACGCATTGAAGTCGCTAGTGCAACCCTTATTTTGTTCCCCAGATAATCATATTTGTTCAATCAAAACAATCAAAAGTTTTGGGCAAAGTACTAGCTGTTCCTAATTTTAAACGCGAACCATGAACCCTCGGCTTTAGGTCACGTCCTTCTCGTAGCTTCATTCACATAAATAGATCCCACATGACTACATCTTTATTATGTGCTTCTTGAGTGTGTGTTAAATGTAGCTTTTATATTATCTTAAGTCTCTTGATCCTTCTCTTTTTTACTGATACATATAAAAAGATATAAAATATACCTCAACACAATCAATCTCATAAAAGCGAATACATGATATAATTTCATAAAAAAGTGAGTAAGTATTTTTGTTATATCTTTTCCATCATAGCATCTTCTCTCACATTGGTCACTTGAGGTAAGATGTTTTAAATAGCTTAAAATTGCATTGTATCATTGAAAAACTTGGCCTAATTTAATCAAATTTATTTTGCACTGTAGGTGTTCAACTTTCATAATAGAAAATTCACATCAGTGTGTCTCAGAATGTCCAGAAAATACAGATACCTCATACAGAGAGGGCGCTGAAGTCATTGGCTGGGTTTGTGTTTACCATGGTAAGTGGAACAAACAAATATTCTGTACTATGTTTAAGTAAAGGCTGTAAAAAAAGTCCATGTATAGTGTTGAATGAATCCTTTACGTAAGGATTTAAGAAAAGCTTAATTTATTAAGTTTCGTTGTGTAAAACAAAACTTAAAATTCAGTTCATATAATTATTGTATAGCAAGTAAATGAAAAGTATGTTTTTGTATCACAGCTTGCCTCATGGAAAGGTGAAGTATCCGGACATTTTGTCTTTTTTTTTTCTTGGAACAAAATAAATCCAATAACTTTTACATGGTGGTAAGAAAATTTAGTTATTCTGGTTAATGGGAAAGCCATTAAGTATTAATGAACAAAACAGTCGGAAAACCTCAATTCGAAGTATTTCAATATTCAGTGTGTTTAATAGTTACTTCAAGGTAGTCTGACGTCGAGGACTACATCAAAAACTTATATCACTCTAGTGACATCAGGGCGCAATAAGGCAAAGGAAAAAATGTAAGGAACATTGTTCTTCATAAGCGACGGAACTTAGAGCATATGCTCCATTCCAATTTTGATCCAGGAGAGAAGTGCCCCTGTGAATGGAGAATAGAGATTTGTGTACAATTACCATGGATACTGCAACACGTAACATCTTCCTAGAGATTGCCGAGTTTATGATACAGCCACATCTTTAGAGAGCTACATAACTAGTATTCAGCAGGGAGGTAAGTGATCATGGTGGCTACGTATGATGGAAGTGGCAGCTGAGAGCCCGATGTTTACCAAACGTCTACATAAGTAGTATCTTTACTGAATGGTGGATATGGAGTGGAGCAATGATTTGCATGAATGTGACATCCTAGATGGAGTTCTGGTTTTACATAATAACGCTGTCTAGTTACTGTACATGTTTCCAATCCCTGATACGAATAGTGGTCTCGAAATAAAAAAACAGCTGCAATAGCACACCACTTGGCGGTCTTTGAGGGTTGCCATAGTTTTTCTGCTGTGGTTTCTGGATTTCCATAGGTCCAGGTGATATAGTTATTGGAATATATATATATATGGCTATGAAGAGTGAAATGGGATACAATACACTTAGATTTTATCAACTGCAATACGTGCCATAAACTCGAATGCAAATGGGTTTTGTTGTTGTTGTTTTTCAATTCAAAATCGAGCATTTTTAACCTCCAAACATATCGAATGGTGTATAGGAAGGTAATGTACAAATATTTCTGCACAGTTGACCGTGATAAACTGGCCAATCGTGCTACATTCAGGACTCTGCTTATATCATGGATGGATTTTGGAACAATGGTTTTTAGTAGTGTTCAACACCTCCACAACAAAGTTAACCGACATACATATATATATGAATGTTCTGATCTTGGGAGATCAGCTACATTTTTTATCGCTTGGAACTATTCAATCAATCTGCTGGTAGCAGCAGCCGTGCATTGTCCAAATCACATACTGACACTGTGGCAGATGCTTCAGTATCGCAGATAGAGATATGTCATAAGATTTGGAGCCAAATACTACTATTCGACTAGAATAGCCCTAGAGTTAGCGGTGGGTGCTATTTGACTAGCTGCTTGCCCTTTAGGCTATCAGTTGAAAATTAAAGATGGCTAGCACAGATCTTGCATAGTTTTGCACGAACATCCAGAAGGAACACATTATTTGTTTCATACATTTGATATTAAGGAGTGAAAAAAAAATACGAAATAAAGTAAAACGGTGTATTTCATGTATAAGTGGTGCAATTGAATGTTATCAGTTTTTCATAATAGCTTGTTCACACGTGTTCTACAGTGAAAATTATTTCCTTTGATTCGTAATTAAAATTTTGATCTCAAACGAATTGTTAAATTCAAAACATCACAAATTATACAGTATCCATACTTTATATTTCCAGTGCCAAATAGATAAGAAATCAAGCTTTTATTTCATAACTCTTTGCAGAATCCTCTTATTTTAGGAGTTCAAAACCCGAGTCTTTCTAAAATGGGGGATAGAAATAGCAAATATAAGTATTTTTGGGAAAGTGTGAATCTCTACCGAATTAGAATAGCTTAGTTTGAATTTGTAGTTTTTGTGCTATAAAAGTACATAAGAGTAATATTCAAACAATGATAAAATGGTTATTTCATTTTTGCTATGACAACATTAGTTACCCCATCCCTCCTGTGTTCAAAGGATGCCGGCTTTGTGGAGGGTCATCATGTGGAAGGAGATCAAAGGATGTCGCCTGAGGGTTACATAACTATTACGTCATATACCAACATCTGAAAGTTAATAGCTATTACAGAATATCCGGACATCTGAGGGTTAAATAAGTGTTATGTAATAGACACCAGAGGGCGCGGCTATCTTAGGGAGGGGTGATATCATAGTTTGACACAGAGGGCCTGTTACTATAGGGGGACAGTTTTACTAAGGTTTATAGGTAGATGATGTTATTTGTTTGTTTTTTGAATTTCGAGGGCTATCTGCGCCAGCCGTCCCTAATTTAGCAGAGTAAGACTGGAGGGAAAGCAGCTAGTCATCACCACCCACTGCCAACCAGCTCTTGGGCTACTCTTTTACCAACGAATAGTGGGATTATAATGCCCCCACGGCTGAAAGGGCAAGCATGTTTGATGGAACGGAGATTCGAACCCGCGACCCGCAGATTGCGAGTTGAGCTCCCTAACCACTTGGCCATACTGGGCCGGATGTTGTTATTAAAATTCTATAGGGGAACGGTGCTACTAAGGTTTTATATGTGGATACTGTTACTATAGGTGAATGTTGTTACTAAGGTTTCTATAGGCAGATGATGTTACTAGGTGGATTATGTGTGTTTTACAAAGGCGTATAGTACCGTAAGATTGCATATAGATTTCAACTTGTGTTTATGATTTTTATTTACATACTACAGGCATGTTATGTATATCTTACAATGGCGGATGCTGTTACTAAGGTCCGAAAGTATTGATAGACAGATGCTGTTATTAAGGTTCTATATATGCATTGTGTTACTAAGGCCAAATTGTTTTTCAACATATCATCAATGTCTAGATTTAATTATACGTCTTACCAGAGTTACTTTATAATTTCCACTTACATATATTTTACAAACGCTATCAGTGCTTTTATCCGATGTAAAACTATTACTTCTATTGGTTTAACATAATAAAAATGTTCCTGACAAAATATTGTAGTTTTCATTTATATATTTAATTGTATTACAAAGGCTCATAGTGTTTGTATACACAGGTGGTCTTACTAAGGTTCTATATATACATCGTGTTACTAAGAAACAAATTGTTTTTAAACTCGTCACCAATATGTAGATTTAAGTACATGTCCTGAGCTTGATTGGATAATGAAGAAAACTTTAAACTTTATAGAAAGATAATCAAATATATACAAATCGTCAGTTACAAATCAGTGTTCTACGATTTTCTTAAATAAAACTCACTTTAGACTAATATACTATCTTTAGTATATATAAATTAAATCTCAGATTTGGGTATTACACATACTGAAACATTTGTTAACAAAACTTCAAGATACACTAATATGCTATTTACGAAAACATTTATTTTATAAAATACTGACCTATACATGTTTAGCTTAGTTTATGATGAATTACACACCATGAATGTTAGTTTCTAACAACTAATATAAATCCCCATTTATATTTCATATATAACACTGATTTGTAGCTAACGATTTGTATATATATTTGGTGATCTTTCTGTGAAGTATAAGTGAAAGATAATTCATGTTACAGTAAGTTTCAAAATCCATGTGAGAAAATATCTGTTTTGAAATAGTCGAAAAATAATCACTTGATTTATAACTGAAGTTTTTTTAAGATTATAAATGTCAATTCTTTTATTATGTTCATTTGTGAAAAATGTATTTGATGCTTTGATAAAGTAAGTTTGAATGCTATAATGTACATAAAGTGAAGTTTTGCAATGATTTTTAGGTGAAAAAGATAATACATGTTACCGTAACATTGTTTCAAAAACCTATATTAATATAGTTATATGAGAAGAATCTAATATTTACAGTTAGTGTTCTGTGTTGTTATATATTAATATATGAGTTATTGGTTTCATTACATGACAGAGATCTGATTGTTTCTAAGCAGTGGTCATGTGAGTAATAAACAAAGGTCAAAGCACTGGTCACTTTGGCAGCACTTCTTAGAGAGTTCCTTTGTTCTGCATTATGTATAATTTATAATAGTGTGTAAAAGTAATGTACAATCAGACTTACAGTCATGAGTTACGACTGTATACTTTGTGGTGAATATTTTCAAAATGTACAATCATGTAATCATCACCTCCTACAAATAATTTTAGTGAATGTCCTATTTGTTTTGTATATGGAGATATGTTCTATTTATGCAGTCATTTGACTGAACACAGAAATAGGCTGAAAGAGACCTTTATATATATATATTTGTATGTCTATGTAAACCTCTTGTACCTGATGATGACATAATTTTTCGAAACGTTGTACATTTGTAATAGTTTTCTTCATTGCCCAATCAAGCCTTCTCCAAACTTTTAAGAACTTTTGAATGTGGTCAATAACAGTCTTTTGCTGAGAAACATATAGCAGTCATCAAGTAACAAAATCTAGACAATACAGAAAATTAAGGATATAATTTACATAGAACCTTTAAACTCTAGTAACTTGTAAAGCTAAACATGAAAATAAGCGTCCTTTTCAGATTGAATAGACGTTATACAAAAGAAAAACGTCAGGAAATGCAAATAGTATGATTAGATATAGAAGCGAAAACTAACGAATTAGTGAAGTGTTTTATAGAGGGATAATAGTTCAAATAATGGATAATATATGTGTGTATAATATGCTATACTAGTTGTCTCATTAAGATATTTGTTTTGCTTAAGACTTGAATTTACACATTGTTGATATTGTTACATCTCCGTTTGTTAATTAACTTTCCGTAACTTCGTTCCGACGAAACTTTAGCGACACAAGTCCTTACTTAATAAAACTGGTTTATTCTTTCCGAATACAACTTTACGATACACTTATTTTCAACAATCACGCTAAAACAAACGCTATATCAACGAACGTCAACTATACTTCTGACTGCAGTTCAATTACTCACTATCTACACACACATTACCTTCCTGTCACGTTGTCACCCTCTTTTATATACCAGACTACCCTATATATAGTAAATGCTAGAGCATTCGCCAAAGTACAGGATAGTTCTAGAAAGTAGAGGGCGTAAGAATAGTCACGTGATCTCGATGACGCAACCCTGCCCCCTCCTTAATATTGTTCGTCCCGAACAATAACCACATACAATAAACCAATAACAATTAACAATAACTTAATTAACTGTACAGTATTACCAAAACAAAATTACAATTCAACAAACTCTCTTAATTTTACGGGACGTATCTTCTTCCGTACTGGTCTCCGTCTCGTTGGCCTCTGCTTCACGTGGGGCTCATCTACTTCAACAGGAAATGTCCTATCATCGGTAACAGTCACATCAGTGGTAGTAACTTCATCAAGAGCTTCACCATTTCCCTTCTCAAAACTGAGTAGAGTTTCTTCTTCGACGGTGGCTTCTTCAGGTGGCACGTCTTCAGCAGCGTCATTTGTTCTGTTTTCCACTTCATCCCAACTGGACCGTGATAACACCAAAGCCTGTTGGCATGCACCACTTTTGGCTTACCTCGCCGACCACATTTTATCCGGAAAGTCACGTCTGAGAGACGATCCACTATGTCATATGGGCCTTCCCATGGAGTCCTGGCCAAGCACGTATTTGTCAACTGTGATATGTAATATGTTATATATTCGAACTGTTTGAAAGATTTATTTTGAGTATCTGT